CTATCTAACTGCGGATTCTGCAAATTTCGGTGAATTCAGCAAATTCGGCAGAATTCGCAATTGCAGAATTCCGGATAACCTAATACAAGTGTTAAGTAAGCATATTGTAAAGTACATCTTTTTTGTACAATGAACCTTGACACTATTCTAAAACTATAGATGGCTTTTGAGGCGCTTTTTTATTAAAAAACAATACTGTAAATCACGTATCCGAGCAATTGATTTACATCAGCCAATCAATTTCACTAATGTTAAATGATGTGCGGCATGCATAACATAGATACCATATATCGATACGTATCAGTCTTCTTCGGGTTCGTATCTTAAGAATGGCAGACGAAGAATACGAAAGTGTACTGTTAGTATTGCGAGAATGTTATGGTAAATGAGGAGAAAATTATTAGAATTTGCCATATATAAAACACTTAATAAGTCAATATTTTGCTCATTTTTAGTCTATAAAATTCCACCAAGAACGTCAAGCAGAGAGTATAGGTATGAGCTATTCTCATTAAACCTCATATTAACTTCCCTTATAATGATCCATATTTCTATTAGGGCAGCGGAATGGGGTGATATGGAAGCTTTTTTATGGAAAGGTCGATTAAGAATTATGTCTGTGGGAGAAAAATGTTTTATCAGATTAGAAGACGGTAGTACTGGTATGAACTAGTGCTCTATTTTCTTTGTACATTCATCCATTGAATAATTGGGTTGAATTACTTATATAGTTACAATAATGCGACATACGTATTTATAATATTCTAGGTGAATTATTTGCACAATGTCTGTATGATCCAGATACTAATTCCGTTGAACCAGTACGTGATTCTTCAAGATATTTTGTTTTACGGATTGAAAATACTGATGGTAATGGTTTATTTCTTCATGATAACGTTTGTCACATTTGTTACATAATTTTTTTTTTCGGAGGGATACCATATGCATACTTAAATTATATATATTGGACAGCTCAGTATTTGATCATAAATTACGTAATAAATGTCACTTCCTAATAAGGCCCTTTTTTAAAAATAGAAGAATAATAGCTTTGATCAATTGTAACGACAGGTAGGCGTGCGTTCATAGGCATAGGATTTCAAGAACGTTCAGAGGCATTCGATTTTCAAGTAACATTACAGGATCATATTAAGTGATTATAAAATTTAGTATTCTCTGTACCTGTTTCTCTAATTAATAATATAGTACTGAAGTATCTTCTTTTGGGGGTTTTTTTTTTGTTCTTTTTTTGAGACATTTAAAAGCAGAGAAAGAAGCGGCTGAGCGCGCCAAAATTTCTGCATTGACACCGAAAAAAGATTATAGTTTAAAAGAGGGTCAAACAATTAGCATTAACCTCGGTCATGTAAGCTACTCCAATATTCTACGAAATTTGTTTATTTTGACGTTTAAGATTAACAAATTTTGATTAAATGCAGCATAAATCAAAACATTCAAGACATCAATCAGTTGATCATATTCCAATATCTGAAGAAACTGGAGGTTAGAAAAAAGATAAAAAATTATGATTTACTTATTCATTCATCCGTTTATTCGGTTATTTATTTGATTATTTAGTCATTCCACTTTTACCACCACCACCATCCGCTGCGTCAATTAAACAAAGGAATTATAAAAGACCGTCATCTCCAAGTAATGATTTTGGAGAGTTTAAAGGGTTCGAAGGTTCATTTGATAAAATAAATACTGTCAATAATGCAGATAGTATTATTGAGGATTCTCTCGTAGCAAATGATGATAAAACATTTCAATAAATTGTTTAGCACAAATTTAAAATTTAATTTTGGACGACCTTAATGCTCACCGGTGGTGAAATTTAGAATTTAGGATCAGGTGTAGGGCGATTTGAGAATGTATATTGTGAAACGATTTCTATGTACTATAACTTTTATTGAGTATTATAAAAAACATATGTATAATTTGTAGGCTTTATAATGATACTAGTAATCATGCTACTGTACATATCAATGGACTTAAATACATATAGATATAGTCAACTAGGGTTGCTAATGGTAAATTACTTGATAGTAAGTTATTGGTAAGCTACTATAAAATTTAACGGTAAGTTACATGGCACCGATAACTTTCAGATAAATTACCATAAGTTAACAACCCTATAGTCAACTATCGGTATAACGGATATCGGGTTGACCTAAAAGTTCCGTTATACTGCATATTCGTTATTCCTATATAACGGATAGTCTTGACAAATATTAAATTTCGGTAATGATTTAAATTTCTTATTAACGTTAATAATTCTATAAATTAGGCATATATCAAAGATATCTTTGTTTAAAGTTTTAAAATTTTGATATACCGTATCGTCGCCCTTGGGGCGTTATTTTGAGGCGCACGATTTCCAGAGAGCTAAAAATTAATTTTGACAAATATTAACATCTTAGAATATTATTTCATAATAATATAGTATTTTATATTTTAAAATAAATCTTTTAATTTTTTTTAAATTTTAAATAGATATTTGAATAAGTATCTAATTAAATTTTTTATTTAAATTACATAAATTTATATTATTTAAATGTAAGTATTTTTATATGCTAAACATGTTTACTTAAAGTATAATGTTAATATCAATTAGTAAAATATTGAATTATTTAGTAAAATTAATTAGAGATCTTATTTAAAAAATAAGTATGTATTTGAAGATTCATTTGTTTAATCTTTTTAGTATTTAAGATTTATTGAAATTTTTAATATTTATTGAAAATTTATTGAATATTAAGAGATAAATTATGATTAAAGATATAGAACATAGCAAATTTACAAAAAACATCCAACTCTTTCTTAATGATCACTTGTACCAAACTTATAATTAACAAAAACAGAAATTTGTTAAAGAAATTAGAAGAAACAACTATATTAGTAATGGTTTTATAGAGATCAAGGATTTTTTTTCTTTTTGAACTTTCCAAACTCCTTTATATATTTAGCAGGCAAGTTAATAGATGATTCGCCAGTCATCTGGAGAGCTATGTGATGCAGGTTATACAAGATTTATATATAAATTAGAAAAAATCTAGTTGTCGCTGGCAGTAACACAGTGACAGTTATAATTGGCCAATTACATCATGTAACTGAATCAAAACAAATGCTAAAGTTAATTATTGTTAGAGTCAGAATTAGAGTTGAGTCAAGATTGGAATAAAGCATAGAGTATAGTAAATTTTGCAAAAAATTTTTTTAATTAGAATATTAAAGGAGTTATAGCAAATTTTTAAAAATTTTCTATATTTTCTTCATTTTAGGATTATACACATATTACATCCTTGAGGATGTGGTGACTTAGTGTAGTTGGTATGTTGTCGCATCCCTAAGCAGCAAGACAAGAGTTCGAATTCCACTGGCAACAAAATTCAAATTTACAGAAATGCATTTGGAAGACTGTATTTTATTTGGGTTATTGAAGTAGTCACAGAAAATTAGTATGAGAAAGAGGAAAAAACTAAAGAAGAAAAAAAAAGAAAGAGAATTAAGAAACAAAACATTAAAGGTCCTATAAAAGCAAAAACTTTAAACAGATTTAAGCAAAAACAAGTTTAAAGCTTTATTTTTAAACCCAGCAGAGTGGATGATAGAAATAATATATTAAGCAAACAAAGAAAACTCACGGATTAATAGCAAGAATTGGAAAAAGAGAAGGAAAGATTTGCTAGTAGAATAGATACAATGGTTGAGATTTCAATGGATTAGTAATACAAGTTTGATTCAAGATATATCAGCAGGAAGATTAAAAAGAGTTAAGAATTAGAAAAGGAAAAAAAAAGATATAGTATTTTTTTTTTAACCTTCGCAATATTATGTGAAGGCAGATTTTTATTAGGTATTTTAAATAGTAGATTCTTGATTAATGAAAACATATTCTAGCCATGTTTGCACCTTTTGAGCACTTAATTAAGTAGCTGCCTATTACTAGGTTTTATACTAGATACCATATCTATAACTCACTATTATTTGAATTATCTAATTAAACTCTCAAAGATATGGTATTAGAAATAGTAGAATGAATTTTAATAAAACCTTTTAAAAATTAAAAGGTTTTTATTAAAATACAAGAGAAGTTTTTAGACAGAAAACTAGGCTCTAAGAAGAAAAGAAAAAGAAAGATCTTTAAATACAGAATGAAAAAGAAGAAAGATCTAAATAGACTAATCAAGATATAGAAAAAAAGACTTGAAAGTTCAGTTCTGACAAAAGGAAAAAAAAAGATGCAAGTGGATTAATCAAGACCTAGAAGAAGAAGATTATCAAAAAAGCTAAAAAAGAGGTCTATAAAAAAATATCTTTAGAGAAGACTTATAGAATAAACTTTTTAGAAAAAAAAAAGATATAGAGCTACAAAATGAAAAGAGAAGTACAAAGAGAAAAACAAGAAAAGACTTTTAAAAGCCAAATCTCCTATCAGCATAGACAAAATAAACTGAAAAAAAGAAAGAAGCTTAAATACAAACAGAGAGAATTTAGCTATAATAGAGTAAAAATCAAAGCTAAATTAGATAGTAGAGTAGATTTAGATTATTATTGTAAAGAGAAAGATAAAGTTAAAGAGGTTAATTATTGGTAAAATTTAGATAAAAATTACTTTAAATTGAGGCCATTTTATTATAGCTTCACTAACTAGCTTGATGCAACCCTCTTATATGAGCAATGCCTTAACTGGTGAGGTAGATCGCATCTGAGCACCCAAGAAAGCAGCTATATGATGTTGGATCTGTAGTTTAAATAGTTTAAATATATATATATATGCTTTGATTTAATGAAGATACTAGCAAAGCTACTAATAAAAAAAAAAAAATCTCTTAAAAAATTTTTTAAAAAACTTTAAAGAATTATACCAAATTTATATATATATATCATAATATACCATGCTGATTTTATAAAAAATGCTTTTTATATTATTGATATTATGAGTTGCAATATTGAGTTTTATTATTTGATTTAAAAATCTTTTGTTCATATTACTTCTGCTCTAATTATCTTCCTCCTAAATAAAATATTTTTTTTGTAATTTCTTTACCCTTTTATGTGTTTTTTATTAGATAAAGGACTGCCTCATCTTGATTGGTGCTTTCTTCTAAGTCTGTTTGCAGAAGAGTTTAAATTCTTCACTCTTTTTCCAAAATTCAACTAATGCTTTCAATTTTAGAAATATTAAATAACCAATAGCTACTCATTTATTCTTTCTAGACATTGCATAATTTCTTAAAACATTATATAATATTTGTCTATTCTTGCTGCTAGGTCTCTGTCTTCTAATATATTTTTACAACTTGAACTTTTTGTTTTTTTGATTTGTTAGAATATTTTCTTTTATTTTTCTATTTACTTCTGTAACTTCTATTATTGTTATTTTTGTTAGAGTCTTGATCTTCTTCTTCAAATAATAGAATTTTTTTGTCTAATTTTCTTTCTCTTGGTGGTTTCTCCTCTTCATCACTTGTTTCTCTTTTTCTTCTCTGATAATTGTCACTCTATTGCCTCTCTTCTTTTGGAATATTTTCTGTTTTTGGTTTTTTCTTTTGTATAGTTTGTAATAATATATGTATTTTCTTATTTTTATATTTAAAATGAGATATATAATAAATTTGAAAAGAATGCAACCCTTGAAGTTGGGCTTTCATTTTATTTTTATATATAGTATTCACTTGTTTGGTTTTTATAAACTTAACAAACCTATTTAAAAACTACAAACTACCAGAACTTTTAGAAAAGGTTACAAGCTATAATTACAAGGTATGAGTTTTAATTTAAACAAAACTTGTTAAGGTTTAGGAATCTTGCAATTTGAAAGAATTTGAACTTGAATTACTACTAATATAGTAGTTTAAAGTCTAATAGGTTAAAACTAAAACTATTACTAAAAAAACAATTTATTAAAAATTTAAACAAGATAAATTAGACTTTATTATAGACAATGTTAGCTTTGTATTTTAAAAAAAGAATCTATCATATTAAAAATTGCTGGGTTGGATTAAATTAAAGCTAAGATATAGTTGTAATTAGAAATACAATTGTGATTCAAAAAAAAAATTGTAA